TTTTGCAAGCACTTATTTTCTGGGGTGAGAGAACCGTTGACGGTTCCTATTTTCCCTTTTTCATGATGATCATTTTTTCTTCCTCCGAAAAAGAAAACTTAAAAAATTTTTTTTTTCTTTCGGGTCGATTGTCGACCTTAAACATCAATTCTTCTTTTTTTTTTCTTGTGTCTATTCTCTCTCTCTCTTATATGGGCCACACTATGATTAGTTTCTTTTGTTATCTTTCTTTTCTTGCATGAATTTGTTCTTTTTCTATTTCATATATGTTAATAACTATGCCCTATATTCCTCCCTCTCACCCCCAAAAACATTCAATATTCATATATCATAGCTCTCTCTATATATATATTCATTATCATTTTTGATTTTCCTTTTATCTCTGTTCTGTTTTGTTTTCTTCTTTTCTTTTCTTTTCTTTTCTTTTGCAAATATCGAAACGCTGCTCAACGAAATAATAAACAAATTTTTCGTTTTCTTTCATATACCGAAACTAGCCTTTTCATATGAACGTCCGGTACGACACGTCAAAAAAAAACAAGCAGATTACCTAAAACGCTGGAATTCCGGGGGGACACACAACTTTATCTTTTGTCAACATTCCCAAAACGGTCCACGCCGCCAATAATATTTGACGGAGGAGAACTTGTAAACGGGGAGAGGATCGGTCGCTTATAATCATCCATAGTGGACAAAAAAAGTCAATTCATCCTCATAGAAGAATACCCAATTTGACTTTGAAACGATCTTCCAAGTTTTCCGCTGCCTCATCTTTCCCGAATTAATGTATACACTCTCATCTTGAAGAACCATAGAATAAATTTTCTTTATTTTTCTCGCGCGCTTCTTTTGTTGTATCTCGTTCTGTCTCGCTCTTTTCTTTCTCCCGCCTCCAAACCCCCAACTTAATTTTTCTTTCTCCCCCCCCCCTTTGGGCTTTTTTTTTTGGTTGTCGATCCGTGTTTTCCCTTCATCCTTTTTTTATAGTTTTTTTTATTTCGTTTACGTTTAATGCCCGAGGTGCTTATTTAGGAGAGGGTAAACAACAACCGTGTCTTTAGCATTGGTGGCACTGCATCTACTTTTGGGGGAATTCCGGAGCTGCATAATCGAGACGTACATAGAGATAACCGCATATACACATACACATACACATACACACACGCACACACACACACACACACACGCGCGCGCGTACATAGATACGGTTACCTATTCGACATATTCTCTATGGATATGGCAACCGTTGCTAATCTTCCGTCGGAAGTTGGTCGCTTGTGGCAACTCACTAGTCTCCATGTGGTATCCCATAAGTCAGCTTATATATCACCATGCCGACCCGACACCTGTCTTCCGGAAAAGTGAAATCCATGTACTTTCTGTTTCTTTCTCTGCAGATTTCTATCATACGCATCGAGGATAATGCATCCCGAACTTTCGTCTTCAAGGAGGGAAAAAAAAAAGAAGATCCTTTTTTTTCCCGCGCAACAAAGTCATTAAGTTCTCTGTTGTTCTAGATATAAGTTTTCCAAGATACAGTTATATCGGTCCATAAGAAATAAGTATATTCCTAGGCGATATTGTACTGCAAGATCGTGTACCAGTTTTTTTTCTTTCCTTTTTCATTTAAAACGTTTGCACTTTGCTTAATTAAATTCGAACGGGACTGAGTGTATTTTTATTTTCCCGCCAATATGTGGTTTTTACTGGGTAACAACCTTACGCTTGCTGAGAAACATAAAAAAGAAAATTCTTCCCAAAAAGTAGGAGTCCTAAAGTATGGAGTAGGGAGGTAAAAGCACGCGCACAGAGAGTCTATCACGATCATCATCATCTACGTTGTATTTTCAATCGACACGAAAGTGGCCCCCTTCAATCGATGCAGATCAGTTCTTCGGTGACACAACGAGAGAGGAAAAATAAGGACTTGGGATGCAAACCGTAGGGTGCTAGGAAAGCTCGAGTTGCTGCTAGTTTGAATAGTGCTGTGACCATTCCAAAACAATTAGAACCTCCTTTTTATTTTATCATGTCCTTCAATGACTATCAAAGGAGGAACACAAAATGATATCATTCGCCCAAGTGGCAGAGAATGGATATATTAACAAGAAAAAAGGATTCACGCGCATCATAACTCATAAAAGGAAATGACACGCAGCTACGTTGCAGGAAAAGGGGGGGAGTGAGCTAGATTGAGTAAACGAAAGGCTAATAGTTCTACGTCGTTCTGTTATCCATCTCATCAGATTTCCGTTCTTATATTTGCATTGAGATCTCTGTGGCTGTTCTGTCTGAACGTTCATCGTCATCAATAGCTTTTGATTGTGGTGTCAACGTCAAAGTGCTCGTTGCAACGCGCGCTTCTTGTTGAGGATTGTGTGTGATCCAGATACATGTGCGACTTTTCAATGTCTTCTCTACCAGGATGGTTGATTCAGGATCCAATGCCGACGTAGGTTCTATTTTGCAGGATAGGCCAGCATAAGTTGAAAGACAGCGAAATGAAATTTTACGATCGCATGTTATCTACTTACCATCCAACAATAAAATATCGGGATTCAAAGCTACAGCTACAGCCAAAGCTGTGCGTTGCATTTCACCACCAGAAAGATTACTCCACTTTTCGGAGAAATGCGATTCAGATAAATTCCAGTCCATACCGATTTGAACCTACAAACGCTTCATTGTCACCTGGTGTGCCTTTAACCGAAATGAAATCATTTTTACCGGATCACCAAATTGCTTATCCTTTTGGCTAGCATATTTCTTGACCATCTCAAAGAGGTCCAAAGGCGTGCCGGGATGGATAGCTGGCCGCTGAGGGACATACATAACCTTTGACCGCCAGGAAGGAATGCCATACTCTGCAGGCGTCTTTCCATTAAGTTTGGATTCACCATGTTCATACGGAACGAGTTCGGCCAGACATTTCAACAAGGTCGTTTTACTACAGCATGAGAAGCCCTCAGTAAAAATTTGGTAGAGAAGGAGATAAGTATTCGCATTTACCCAGCTCCACTTGGTCCTCTGAGAACAAGGACATCGCCCTTCTTCAGGGTAATGTCTACATTTCTAAAGAGCCATCGGCCATCGGCCAGTTGCATGGACAGTCCACTTGCTTCTAGCATAACGAAGTATGGGGTCGTTTTTTGTTTCGGGTTTCGGGATAGCCGAAAAAGTTTATAAAGTGCAGTTTTCACGTAATTTTTTATATTACGACTGCAAGCCAATCATATCAATCCTATGACGTACTGTATAGTTGAGAATCCCGATCATCTCTCTAGATCAGCGTTATCTCGTTTGATCAGGTTACAGATCTCTTCTTTCTTGGCAAGAAATGTTAAATGCCAGTAACAAAAGAAAGACGGCTAACCGGGTAGAATTTTTGGTATATGTTACATAGATGTACATAGATCCACTCAATCAATCAACAACCCACCAAGTAGCAAGCTGGATCCGACAACAAACACTTTGTACTACTTTGACTCAGAGAACTTTTGTTTGTCTTTATTTGTTTTTCTTGTTATTTATGAATTGTCATCGGTGTGTTTGTCTTCTGTCATGCTTATATTCCAGTTTTGCAAATGGACAATATGTGATGAAGTACAAATGCTAAAAGGATACCAAGTACAAGAATTATATCAAGAAACGCGTCATCATTAAATAACTCTAGAGTGTTACAAAGAAAGATCCAAAAGCAAACTGTACAACATTGCTGTGGGAGATTAGCAGGAATGTAAACAGCTTTTTGTCACAGAAACCATAAACAAACCTAACATCTAGTTGAAAAGCCCAGTATGTGTTTCTCGTTTTGTTTTCTCCACACTCTGGCTCGTATCTCTTGCTTAGAGAGACTCGTTGCCAGGTAAGAGAAGCCGCGTAAGGGATGCGCACTTTAGATTATCTATTACGTACCCTTGACCGCTATGGTGCTACTCAGGCTAAATCTTTTGAAATGAACTTCCTCTCTGCTCTCAATGATACGAAATGGCTAATCTCCGACTTAGAGTTGCATTTGAAACTGTAAGCTGAGGATCCATAAAGCAGTTCTTATCTAACGAAGCTAACTTTTAAGACGTCCATCGCACAATAAATAATAATCTCGTAAATATATGATTAAACTTCGTCTAAGCCAACTACTCCCCCCTCAACCATTCAGGTTCAGGGAATTGACACAATTTTCCTTTATGAATAACTCGCCTTATTGATGTTTCTCATTAAGAAAATTTTTGAACTGCTATCTATGTGAAATGCTAACGCCTTAGGAACTAAACGAGTCATGATAGAATAATAAAAAGTAAAGCAACAAGCACAACAATTCTTTTTCATAGCTAACGACGCTGATCATCGATTTGCTTAATAAAAGCGATTTGTGCCTACATCGCAAGATATGGTTAGTAAAATCGGCATGATATTGGTTTTCATTGTCAAAAACAAAACATCCTTGGCACAATGATCTTCATTATAAAACGGTTATTCGCTGCACTATACTGTTCTCCGCGAAGGAGAAACTAGCTAATGTATCTATTAGTTTGCTTTATTTTTATTTATAAGAGTTATCAATGTGTAAAGCATTTTTCAGCAATACAAGATCACTATTAGTTTGTTATTTACATTAAGCGGGTTTGACATGAGCAATAAGAAGATCCTAGATATCATTAAGACAAGAAGCACCAAACAGTATGATAAATGGTCTCATTTGCTTTATTGTTGATCTGATAGTAGCAAAGGCGAGGACATGGCATGATACAGATGTCTCATTTTTTTATAGAGTTACTTAACGATTTACGCTTTTTGCGTAACTCCTACGTTATTTGGGCGGGTTTTCCAAGCACAGAAGGAAAATCAAAAGGAAAGGTAAAACTAAACTAAAGATAATGAAGACTTGCGAAGAATTTGACCTCAATGACAAAAATTATGAAGCAAGTACAACTTGTATGATGCTTAAAGGTGATTGGCCAAAGTTTCGTGTAACAGCAATTGCAAAATGCCAAAAAAGAAGGGCCCACCGTGGTTTGAACACGGGACCTTGAGATCTGCAATCTCCTGCTCTACCACTGAGCTATGAGCCCCCGAGCTGTTTTGGGTCAAATTCTTTGTTTCTTTTGTTCTGATAATCTTGCTTCTGTCCAAACAAATGATAATTTCTAGATTGTTCAAAACTAGCCTTGTCAAAATAAAAAATAAAAATATAACATTTTAAATTATTGATTGATCTCTTCCTTATCCTTCATTGAATGCTATTTTAAATAATATTTATATTTTATAAAACGAAATATATTAAAAGAATATAATTATTATAAATACTTTTATTAAAAAATATTATAAATTAAGGCTCGACCTATGGCCCACTGGGCTGGGCCAAGATCTTAACCTGGAGCCTGGCACACTAGGCCTATCACACTTAAGATGGACCCATTGACCTGTGGGGCCAAGTTGGGCGGGCCATATCAGGCAGGTCAATTTAATAGCCCGGAGCCCGGCCCAACAAAGTCCGCCCGTCAGAAATCCGGTCCTGCCGGGTCGAACTCCGAGCCCTAATCCTTTTCTAAGAATATATTTACTGGAGAAACACTTTGATGGACCCGGCAAACGAATTTTGTCTCGATTGTATCTACAGAGTTTTATAGGTCCCATATAAATATTATGAGTTCCAAAAATGAATATAAGTTATTTAGCATTTTATTAAAGTTGAGAAGGAAGAGAAATATATTGTTAACTTAATAACATTATAATTGACAAGAAGTATATATTGTCGTATAGCTAGTATGTTGTTATGCACCTTAATAGCGGGACTACAATACAGTTTTCCAAATTGGGTATATGG